GTACTGTCGTTAAGGGCCACTGAGTCAACTACGACTCACAGGGATTCTGAAGAATGGATCTGAATCCTGTCTTATGTCTAGTCCTAGTGGAAGAAAGTTTGTATAGAACCACAGTAGTGGCCAGGTATATTGTCTCTTAAGTTTTTATTTTTTTTTTGTTGCTGTTGTAAACTTGTAGATAGTATATAATAATATACAGTAATAATTTTTTGAGTTTATGGCATTGATCATTGAAGCACATTTAGAAGTTAATATCTAGCAGTATTTTCCCTGAAGATGAAGAGATCAGTGATTTTCCTAAATTCCTGTCTATGTTTTTTAGCCAGTCTGTTTGCTGCTTTTTAAGCTCATATATCTGCAATAACTAGCATTCTCTGCCATTGAATTGATTCCACCTTAAAGAGGTTACTTCCAGGTTTCTGGGGTTCTAAATCAAATGCACTGTAGAATGATTAAATAGAAGATCCTGATAGTCATGAATATGTGTCAGTATTGTTAAAAGGTTTATAATTTCTATAGTTTAATAATACACTATTTCAGATCAATTAAAGACAAAATGTGTTTTACTGATATATTTAAAAACTTGAGATTCTTGGTGAAACAATATTCACTTACTGTGTATTTGCAGCAGAAGGCCACAGTGTGGCACTGTTGTTCCTTGGCTGATTATTTTTGAGGCTGGCTGGTTGGTTTCATTGCTGCATCCTTGTTTTGTGGACTAGAAAAAAAAATACCCTCAAAGATAAGTGAAGAAGTACTCTTACCAGATACTTTTTAGTTGTACATAGTTAATTTTATGATTGCTTTCCACTGATTGTGCTAGATTACTTTTTATGCTAATCAGTCTTTATTACCATGCCTATTTAAAATTTTTTTCTTTGATTGCCCTATCATGTTTACTTTAAAAATCAGAGGGCTTCTTGAATGCTATGAAATTATAACTTGAGAAACTACCAAAGAATGATACTATAGGTGGCAACAAGTACAGCTTTTGGAGGATTACTCTCTAAAAAACTCTGCTGACTCTCAAAATATGTAATGCTCTCGTTCAAATCCAAGCTAGCCCTTCCTCTCAGTGCTGTTACTTATAGGCTGTACCAGAATCCATTCAAGAGGAAATGGTTTGATTCATTTGGATCTAGTATTCCTAATATTAAAAAGCTCTAATTTTACTTTTGCTGTTTTGATAAGGTATTATTTAACAAGTCATTGTGTACTGATCATGCATTTTAACTCAATATTATTTACTAAGGTGTTTTAGTGTATTCAAATGTAGAGGAATAATCACCACACTATTAAACACGTTCCCCCCCCAAGGAAAAAAAATCATGAATCCTCTGCCTTAGGGCTCCTGAGATAAACATTTAATAATTCATCTTTGTTGCACATGATGATTTTGTAGCTTTTCTTGTCTACTTATAATAGATGACAGTCTTTTAGTGTTGATTTGAACAGATTAAAAGCAATTGGCATTTATTTGCAATATGATTAGACTAGAGAGAGACTAGAAACATTAGTGGGATCTGGTGAACTTGAAAATGGATTAGGAAATTTGTCTTAACCTCTAAGACTGCAAGAGGAAACCATTTGGAGTTCTTAAGTCAGAGGTAAGGGACTTAACGCTTCTGTGAGAGAACTGACTTACATTTTATATAGTTAGAACTTTTGAACAACTGTGAATGTTGTCAACTCCTGTAAAGGTAAGACCCTTGTGTATCTGCTCATTGTGGTATTTATAGCATGTAACCCTTGTTAATTTTCCTGTCAAATGCCCACTGAGAATGTGATGGCATCAGTGACTGGTGACATCTCTGAGTAGTACAGATGATTACGTTCTCGAATACTGGTGTGAAAGTTGGTAATTTGAACCCAGTCAAGGACACAAAGTATTAAAAGGCATTGAAAGCCCATAGACTCCAGTTCTGACTTCATACATGTAAGAATCAATTCAGCCACAGCTGACAACCACAAAGTCATTAGTGTACTAACATGCATTAGATAATTGAGTTCAACTTTACGTTATAAGCAACCAGTTGCGAATCTCCAATTTTGGAGCTGATATTTTAGAAATGGGAGTTTAGGTTTCAACAGATAATTGTAAAAAAAAACCAACCAAACAAACTAAAAACAAACAAATAACCCCAACTATAGATAATTGTAATTTTTCACAAAATACAGTAAGAGAGGAAGGCTTATAATTTATACCTTAGCCTTTCTGAGAATCAGCTCCCTTAGGTTCTATATGTGTTAACATTTTCCAATTTTGTTTGAGCCAGTTTTTCTCATTTGTAAATGAGGCCTTCAGTGACAATTACAAAAGAAAGCTAAAATTCTTCCACTAAATCTCTGAAGACAGAAGGATGTGGTTGATTAATCTTTGAATCTTCTAAAACATCCATGTATACTGTAATAGACACTGTTGCTGGTGGTGTTTTGTACCATCTAGTCATAAGTGACTCATCACTGACCCTCCTGTGGGTTTTCAGAGGCAGTTAATCACATGAGAGGAGAGATTGCCTATCCTCCTGTGGAGCAGCAGGTGTATTCGAACTGGATGCAGTGCAGCTTTTGCCATTATGCAAACTTAAATTTAAACTAAAATTTTATTTTCTGTTATACTAGCTACATTTTTTCGAGTGTTTCTTACTATATGTGGCTGGTCTTATATAGTTTTCGGCACTGTGGATATAGTACATTAACCTTATCATAGAAAGTTTTGGTAGACAGTGCTGCCCTAGAAAATCTAAAATAGTAACTTGTTTATAGCATGCCCTCAGAAAAATTTGATGCTTTCACTGAGTTTGTCTATATCATGAGAGAAATTCTTCATCTAGTAAGAAAGGCTCTTCTACAAATGCCTGTCACTTCACAGCCAACTGAAAAGTTATTTTTTACTTTAGTGTAGAAATATTGATCTTTGTTAAATAACATGAAGTATTTGTCATAAGTACATCTCTCCTCATTAATTTGGAGTAGGACCTGACTCAAGACTGACCTCGTAAACCACAGGGGAGGAGAACTTTCTCTTTCTCCTGTGGAGCAGCTGATGGGTTTGAACCACCTGCCGTACCACTAGACCACCCGAGCTCCCTCTCTGTCATAAGAGGAATGGTTTGTTTACTTCTCTGTTTTTGAAAGTGAGGAGAAGGGAGAAAAATACAGGGGGTGTGTTGGAGAAAGCCATCAGAGTTCCTCAGCCTACATCGGCACTGGAGAAATTTTTCCCTTCTATTCTTCATAACAGACTTGGCAAATAGTTAGAATTTCTCTAATCTAAATTATTTGAGTTACTGTTACTGTTAGTTGCTGTCAAGTGGGTTTCTAGCAAAACCCAGTGAAACAGAAGGAAGCACTGCTGGGTCCTTTGATGTTTTTACAAGTAGAGAGAATTGAGCCATTGTTGGAGTTACTATGTCATTTCACCTCATTGAAGATCTTCCCCTTTTTCACAGATCCTCTACTTGACCAGGTCAAAGCATGATGTCCTTCACCAGGGACTGATCCATCCTGATCATATGCCCAATATGGGAGATGAAATCTCTCCATCCTTTCTGCCTGTACTTCTTGGAAGGCAGATCTCTCTATTTCTGGCAATCTGGTAGATTAGTATTTTTTCTTCAGCATCAGAGTTTCTGGAAGGAGCGACATTCATATCAAACATTTATACGTAGAGAATTTAGCTCACAAACGTAAAGTTCTTAAATGTAAAAAAGATGATTCTTACAGTTTTTCATAGTTTACGTCACTATAGTTTTAGACGTTTGAAAATAAAACAGAGTTTATGTTTAAAGTTTCTTTAGAATGCTAACCTCTTTAAAGAATACAATTGGGAATTCTCATTAGTTCTCAGCAAAGATAGAGGAGAGTTTGTACTTATTTTGTAACTTGAGTTGACTTTTACAATTTTAAGTTTATGTTCGTTCATATTTATCTACATAAGGATTTTTCAAAGTGATTCAAGAAAATGTTTTATCCTTTCTTAAAGTATTATTTCTATGTAAATGCTGCAATAATTTGACAAAGCAGGGGCTGGAAATAAAACACGTAGTCTAGTAAGTTGTTTAGTCTGTTATCAGGTGCTGCTGAGTTGCCTCCATCTCAGCAGCTTTGTACACAGAATGAAACACTGCCCAGCCCTGTGCCGTCTCATAACCTCCGCTGTGCTCCCATTGCTACAGCTTTGTGTCAGTCTCTGTAGTAACACTTTTATCTTTTCTTCTATTATTGCTGCTTTTGCGTCTTAAAATTGAACCAGTTCTTGAGAACATGACCATGATAGAAGTGAGGAGTACTCTCCTGGGTAAGAATTCTCGTCACAGAGGAGGGATTCTCATGTCTGTGAAGCAAGGCTCACAGTACATAATCTTATACGTAACTAGGTCCTTGTTAGATTCCAGGAGTGTTATCTTTTTGCAGTCAGCCTCAGTTATCTCTAGCACCTGCTACTCGTATCACTCAAATAGAACTTGAAAGTTTAAGGCATCCTCTTGAGGGGAGTAGACATTTTTAATTTGTCTTTAGAATGTTTGGAAATTTTTTGTTTTTTGAACAGGTTATAGAAACTCTAAGGAGGTACTTCCGATAAAAACAAGTAAAACCCATAAAGATAGTTCAAATACCATCCTTGAAGAGAATAGGCATTAAGAGAGGTAGTTTTTATTTAGAAAATTCATGTTAGAAATTATGCTGGAAAACAGTTAATTTGAAGGAAGTTTATATTTTTTTTTCTTTTACAGAAACAGTGATAACTTGGAAGAAAGGATGATTTTCACCTTTTTGTATCACTTTGTTCCCCATTTAACTGTACTGATTAATATTAAATAACTGTCCTGTCTTGGCATTAAATCTTGCTTTTCATGGTATATTACACATAATTTCTAGTTTGATTTGCTGTCATTTTGTGTGGTTTATTATTGACAATACTAAAAAGTAAAATTGACCACTAGCTTTTTTTTATCTTGATAATAAAATGGGTAATTGTATATTTTCTCAATTGGCAGGTCGTGGTTCAATTCCAGAATTCTTTCATATTATGAAAAGAAAATTTACCAACAAAGAATGGGAAACAATCAGAAGTTTTAAAGACGAATGGACTCAGCTGGATATGTTTTATAGGAACTGGGTATCATTTTTCCTAATTTGAGAATAAAAGTTCATAATATCTTTCTAATGTCTTTGAGCAAAAAGTGCTTCAGTTCCCCAATAATTCATTGAATGATTAAAGTAAAAGGGTCATTACTTGTAAACTTCATGATTTTTGTGTATACTGTGTCATAAAAACATGTATTTTCAGAAAATAAATCTTTTTAATGCTCACTTTTATCTGTCACCATTGTAAATACTGTTTTTTCTCTTAAAGAAACTTGTACGCATGCCACCTTACCATGTACTTATGTAGCATTTACTAGATGTCAGATGTTAAGTGTGTAATAACTTAGTTATTACTTAGTTAACTTAATTCTCTCAATGACCCTATGAGTAAAGTACTAATATTATCACCTTCTATACATGAGGAACTAGAGACAGCTTTAAATGATTTGCCCCTGTTGGCTGGTATTCATGCTTCTAAATGTTTAACAAAAATAGTTTATAGTTGTAATAATTGTATGAAAAATCCAGATGAGCTAGAGTCAATTTTAGGAAAAGCTTATCCACTAAGTGCTCTAAGTGAAACCATGTCTCTCTATCATAGGCACTGAAGGAAAGCTTCATAAAAGCCATTGGTGTTGGACTAGGATTTGAATTACAGCGACTTGAATTTGATATATCTCCATTAAACCTGGATATAGGCCAAGTTTATAGAGAAACTCGCTTGTTTCTGGATGGGAAAGAAGAAAAAGAATGGGCATTTGAGGTAAGAAATTTTTCAAAATTGTTATGACCATAAAAATACTCATATTTTTCTTGTGTATGTGCAGTGTATATAAACAAATACAGATACAGGACTTTGGCATCTGCTTCTCAACTGGAAAGTTTGATGCTAGGATCTCTGGTTGGAGTGGCTCTAGTGTGGGTGCAAGGTGATGAGGGAAAAGTAAACAAGTGGCTCAACTACATGTCATTTTTTGTGGGGCAAGATGACAGAGTTCTTGTGTGTCAAGTACATGCTGCAAATTTAGTCACTGAGCTCAAAGTGTCTTGAGAGGAGCCCAGTAAGAAATTCAAGAGAATGGGCATTTTAGTATGTGAAAGCTGTCCAGTAGATAAGGAGAGCGGAAGGAAAGTTGATACATTTGAATTATGACGTTGACAGACACTATTGAATATGTCACAGGCTTCCAGAAGAATGAACAAATCTGTCTTGGGCCAGTTGACTTAGAATAAGCATGGTGAGACTTTGTCTCACATACATTAACAGTGCTATCAAGAGTGATCCAACTCTCGAGAAGAATATCGTGTAGTTGAGCAGGAGCTAAAAAAAGGAAGACTCAGTGAAATGAATTAATACCGTTCCAACATTGGGCTCAAACAGCACAACTGTAAAGATGGTGTCTGGACAGTGTTTGATTTTGTTGTACTGGCTTGACACCTACAAACAAAAACAACAAAGCTGTGAAAGACATTACCTTGCAAATGAATCAGAGTTGAGAAACTGGAAGTGGTCCTCTGAAAATTCCAGATGCAGCTTATGAGAAGCTTTCAGCATTTGAACATTTGAGGTAACACAGCTCTGAGAACTGGATTTCAACATCACTTTTTATTTCTTAGCTTCTTTTTCAGTCTTCTTCTCTGCTTCCTGCTTCTAACACTGGAAAATCCATAGTGAAAGAGGATTGGAGTGAAAGAACATGTAAAACCAAGGGGAAAAGATGTGTTCCAAGATTAAAATAGAACTGTTACAGCTGATAGTGATTGACAGGCTGTCAACTTTACCTAAGTCTTTGTCCAGATACTAGAAAGGGCATATTTAAAAGTAGCGACTGAATACAAGTTCTTTATTGTGTACACTGGTGGTGTAGTAAGTTGTGGGTGTGTCTTAACCAAAAGGCTGCTTAGGTCTGGCTGTTCAAACTCACCAGCCACTTTGAGGGAGAAAGATGAGCAGTCTCCTCCTTGTAAATCTCCTCGCACCTCAGAAATCTAATGGTGTGAGTTGGCATTGATTGAACTGGCAGCCTAGTGTTTCCCACTTAATGTACTAGTCTCAAAAATGAGTAATTTTTAAAATTACATCTGTGCGTACGTTGAAATTTTTTTCTTAAAAACTGTAAACAAACAAAAAACTATAAACAAGCTTAGGTCGAGAGGATGAATCTAACAAAGTGAGTCTGATGGCATGGGTAGCTAGAAACCAAGAACTGATGAGAGAGTGATCTACATAAAGGTAAACCAGCATCCCTGGAGAAAGGAATAATGGAAAGGTCCATGGTGGGGTATTGATGACATTAATCCTGACATTAAAAGAATCAGCCTGTGGGCATGTAACTGAGAAAGAATTAACACCTTTGTTGTATAATTGTGGCAGTCAGGAATGGTCTTTTCTGCCTTTACCTTCGCCTTACCCCATCCATGTTTACACTTGATTTCCCACTATTAGAGCTAGAGACAGTAGAATGAATGGAGGACATGACTATGGTCAGAAGGGAGGAGAAATCAAGGATGCCCTCCTTCCTTAATTGTTCCAGCCTCACATTAGGGGAGAGCTAGAGAGTGAGGAAAAGATGCTCTTCATTGTTGTTGTTAAGAGCCCAAGAGTCTGGCATTGGGGTGAGGGTAAGACTGAGAAAAACTGGATGAAATATGTTTACGGCATTGAAGTCTATGGGGGAGAGAATAGTCTAAAAGTATTATATTTTAGGGCATTATTTTTATCGTAGGAGTATGCAATGAGGGTTGCAGAGTGGATTATATTTGGGGGTAGGGGTTGGGTTTTGGGGGGTTGGGGGGGGATTGTGTACCAATGAGGGAGTTTTTCTTTTGCTTTTCAAGGAGAGGAGCAAAAGGGGGGGGTGGTTTGTGCGGGGAGAAGGGTGCAACAATGAATGAATGGAATCCCAAAATCTCTGTAGATGTTCATTGAAATGAAAAATAAACAACCTAAATTAAAAAAAAAAAAAAGAGCCCAAGAGTCGTAGAGGACTCATAGCAACCCTGTGAACTAAAGACCTGGCTGGACACTTGTATAACGTTCATCATTTCTCCAAGTTCGTAGTTTCCAGAAGCAAGCTATTTCGGAAGTGGATGCCACTCCTGCTTCCAAGCTTGTTTTAACTGGGGAGCTCCACTAAACACTGTCCACCATGGGTAACCATTATTGCATTTGACACATCAGTGTCTTCATTAGACAAGGTATAACTTGGGTCAGACTGAATGGAGCATCTCAATGAAGAGAAAGCTTAGTATTTAAAAGGGACCAGAGGTAGGAGATTTTCTCAGAATTTTATCCAGCACAAGGGGAAAATGGGTTATCAGCTCGTAGTTTTAGGGAAATAGAGGGAATGAAGTTGCTTTCTGTTCCCACCCTATAGAGTCTTACTCTAGGTAAACCAAAAACAAATAGGAAGAGCCTTACATTCCTCCCCTTTTATGTATAAATGAGTGATCTGCATGGGACATCTTGGCAGCATTCTGTTCTTCTCTCCTTTCCCTACTGCACAGATTCTGCCTCCTGAAACATCTGCACATCTTTTCCCATTAGCCACGTTTTGATTTTTTTTTTAAAAAAGATCTGTTTGGAGACAAAGTATAGAAATAAGAATGGAGGCAGGAGAAATCTTTAGTAAGCAGAGCATGTTAAGGCTACCCTGTATGTCAAGGCTCTATAGCCTGTATCAGTTAATGTGTGTAGTCACTAAAAAGTGAACTGCCTCAGACTCATGCATTCTTTTTAGAGTGTTAGCTCTAAGATGTTAAGCTGGGGAAAAAGTCTTTCTGGCAGGCAGCATTAAAATAATCCATGCAAGAACCAGAAACAAGATTGAGGCTACGTATAAAACCAACGTTCTGCCTGAATCAGGGCAGGACTGTATTCTGGTGCCTACTGCGTTAACAGTGTGGAAGGCAAACTGGCATATCTTCATGCAAAACAAAGGACAGTGTCATCGTGGGACCAAGATAAAGTTCTGTACCTCAGTAGAGAAGAATAGGAATGTACGAAACAACTGAGGAAGTTTTTTCAAAACTGAAAAATCTCTTTGGAATCTGACTAACATGCAAGATGAGACTAAAGAAGTGGAGAAGAGAGCCTTAAGAATTAATCAGACCACCAATAAAAAGAACAATTGGGGGAATTAATTGTCTACTTCTCAGAAGCATGGGATGCAATTGAAGATATCATGGGATGTGTCACAGTGCACCTTAGTCTTTAAATTTACAGCAGTGTGACGCAGGAATTGATGCCTTTGAATTGTGCAGTTGCCGAAGAGTGCTCAGTATGTCATGGATTGCCAAAAGAACAAACAAGTCTGTCTGGGAGGAAGTACAAGGCCGGTGCAGTACTTGAGAGGCAAAGACGGTAAAATGGCATCTCAAATACTTTCGGCATTTAGTCAGGAAAGGCCAGTTCTTGAAAATGAACATCATGCTGAAAAGGTCATCATGACTCAAAATGAGAATCAGAGAAGGAGAAGATGACCCTCAACAAGATTGACAGAGTAGTAACTAACAGTAACAGTGGGCTCAAGCATATTGGATATCATAAGAATGCCATAGGCTAAAGCAGGGTTCTTAGGGTCAGTGTGAGTCATGGTTGCATCTGTGGCAGTGAACAGCAACATTGGTGGAAGGTTATTAGTTTATGAAGGATAATAGTGCAGAAAACAAAGCAAAGGACCCAATCATGGGATGAGCATATTTAAGTACATCTGACGATTTCTAAGACATCTGTCTTTCCTCCTTCTCAAGCATATGCTTTCATTCTAGCAGTCATAAGCCTCCAGTGTTCTGTATATTCTTACTAACTTGTGAATCAGTTTTTTTCAGACTTAATTGCTCACTGCTATGTGTTTCTCAAAAATCTGTAGGTACCTCAAATTCTACATACAGCTCAAAATCATAATTTTCATTCAAGTTACTCTCTCATTCTTATACCACTTTTCTTTTAAGGATATCATCATGTAGTCATTGATAATGAAAAGTCTAGACCTTCCTTGCCTTCCCTTGTCACTCATGTCTTACAGCAGGCTGATGTGATACCCTGGCGCTTTACTACTAATGTAGAAAACCTAGTCTTTGCATGTGGCATGTACTGTTGCGTTAGCTTCCTAAACTTGCCCTCTTGTTCCATTGTATTGCCTCAGCCTCTTCTTTTTTAGCCAGCTGTCTCCTGTTTATATATACTCCACATTGTAGCAAATTACCACCTCTTTTTGAATAATGTCAATCCTTTCTTCTTTATATTCATTTATGCTAATTCTTTCATGATTCCTAACCCCTCCTTTTCCCCTTCACTCATTTCAAGTCAACTTGCCTGCCTTCTCTATTTTCTGTAAGACCCTTCTTCTTTTGATAGACTATGTTTTGAAGGTATTTATCTACTTCTTTTACTCTCTGATGTTCCCTTAAGGAGTCATAGCTCTCATAGACCTAAAACACTAGCTTGAAAGATAATCAAGAATCTGTTATTGAAGCAAGTGCAAGGATTTTTATTTACTTAAGTATTTATTTATTGGATTTCACGTCTATAAAAGGGAATGCTTTAGAGAAAAGCATGGAGTCTTATGTCAAGGGTGAAAAATCTCTTTTTTTCATAGGCTTTCAGTTTTTAGAACTAACTTTGGAGAAGTATCACCAGATGCTTTAACTATGCCATAGAAAGTCTTTACTTTGCTTTTCAAAGGGCCTAAATAATAAGAATCATTAAAATTTATGAACTAGAGACATTAAAACTAATGCCATATAATTTCCACTACTTGACCATGATTAAATAGTAAAATTTGAATGTTATAGATGAAACTTTGCTTTAGTTCCTAAGCATTATTCTTTCAGTTGTCTGGTAACTTTGTTTCATTTTAAAAATGCAAAGAAAAAAAAAATTAAAAAAAAAAAATGCAAAGGAGCATATAGTTCTCCTGAAGCAGATTCTTTCCATTTAACGTTGAACCATCTCCTAAAGAGAAATTATACTTGTTTTCTTTGAGTTTAGCAGAGATGATAACCAGATTTTATATTCACAATTTTTTTATACATATAAAAATTTACAGATGAACTAGTTAACTACAAAGGGAGTATGTTTATTTAATTTTTTTTTAAAGTTACACTTGTATATACTGCCTTAGGCAGAAAGGATTCATAGCAGTCTCTTCTTAGAATTTCCAGTTTAGTGGGATGTTGAGTATTTCTAGTTAAGATTTCCCAAATAAAACTTACCCATGAAGGCATAGCATAGTTTGATAATCCTTTTAAAGTTAGCTTCTTTCATTTTGTTATGTTAAATTTGATATTTGTGTGATGCAGATGAAAGCTTTTGTCAATATGTAGAAGCTTTATTTTGAAAACATTGCCATTTGATGTTTGGCTTACAACAGGATCAGTGGTTAAATTTTACTTTTTTAACTGTTAGGCTCAATGAAAACTGGTTATTGTCCACAGGTAATTCTGATAAGTACTTTAAATAAGACTACTAAAATGATAATTCCAGTAGTTTTCCAAAAGTAATTATAATCACATTTTCTTTAGAGTTTTAAGTTCTTATTAATATTTAGTTTTTAAAAACCTACGACTAATTTTGTATTGAAGCATGTCATTAATATTTTGGGCTTGATTTTAGTTCAAAGAAAATTATTGTCCATTTGAGGTGTGGTTGTGAGTGGTAGTCATTGTCAGGATGCAGTTCTTTCAGACATACTCAAAATTGTATAGGAATTAATGATGTGTCTGTCAGTCATACATTATTGTACACATGTATGAAGTATGATTTTTATTTTTATTTTCTATACATGTACTCAAAGAGCTCTGGTGACCTAGTTTGTAGTTTTGAGCATAGCCAACCTGAAGGCTCACCATTCAGATCCATAAATGTGGGAGAAAGATTGACAATCTCTGCCTCTGTGATTTACTACCTCTGAAAACTTATCGGCGGAGGGTCTGCTATAGATCTATTCTGGCTCAACAATACATAGTAACAGCAACAATCCACCAGCAGCTCTGTGGGAGAAGGATGGCCAGTCTCCTGTGCCTTTTTTATAGCCTTGGAAATCCATCGGAGAGTCAGTTCTGAATTGGTTCCCACTCCACAGCAGTGAGTTAAGAGATGTGTATTAAGAGCTATGCCTTATAAACCAATTATTTTTTAATGTATTTTTTTAACCTGTGCATTGAAGTGACTTTATTCTTTTTTCTCTAAAACAACTGAATTTTATTTTTTGCTGCTTTAAATATGGTGTAAATAACAGTATAAAGTATAAAACATCTAAGTAGCCCTTTTTTTTCTATTTAAACTGTTGTTTAGAAAAATACCTTAGAGAAATGGAAAATTTCATATTCTTTAAACTTGACCCAACCAAAGTGGTAGAATCCTGAGAAGGCAGAAAAGCGGAAATAGGAACAAAAAACAGTGAACAAATGAAAATAAAAGCTTGACCTATAAATTTCTATGATGATTTTTCACAGAATATAGTACATTGAATGTTTACAGTGTTAAAATCTAATTTTTTTAATGTATGCATTAAAAACAAGCTTATTAAAAATAAACATCACCCGTTAGCATATCTTTTAATATAAACATTGAGAAACTTGGGCAGATAAAACATGAGCAATGTTTTGTTTATCAAAATAGGTAGGTTTGTTTTTAGAAATACTAATGTCATGTTGTGGTGGCCTAGTAGCAAGAAGCTGTGCTGCAATCCCAAAGGACACCAGCCACTCCACGGGAGAAGGATGGACAGTCTCTTCCGTGTGATTAACTGCCTCTGAAAACTCGTTAGAGGGTCAGTTATGGGTCGGTTCCAACTCTACAGTACAGAACAGCAACAAACAATGTCATGTTGTTGTTTTTGTTGTTATTGTTCTGTGCCATCAAGTCTTCTGTGACTCAAAGAAGCCCTAAACCTGCTCTATTCTGTGCCAATCTTATTGTCTCTGACACACCTACCCGTTACCCAAGTCACTCAGTCAATCCATCTCATCCAGGGTCTTCCTTTCTTGTGCTGTCCCTCCACCATCCCAGGCATGACGTCCCTCACCAAGGACTGTTCTTGCCTTGCAACAACATGTCCAAAGTATGTCAGATGAAGCCCTAGAATCCTTGCCTCCAAGGAGCAGCCTGATCTCTCCCTCTCTGGGATGAACCTGCTTGTTCTCCTAGCAGTCATACTTTTCTCCAGCACCGCAGCTCAAAGGCATCAATTCTTCTATCATCCCTAGTCATTGTCTAGCTTTCTGATGCACACCATATAATTACAAAGACTATGGCCTGGATCAGGTGCACTTTAGTCTCCAGACTGATGTCGTTGTTCTTAAATACTTTGGAGAAGTCTCTGACAGCAGACTGTCCCAGTGAAATTCGTCTTTTAATTTCCTGGCTGCTGGTACCAGAAGTACTAATTTTGGAGCCAAGCAAACGAAAGCTGCTGATAATCTTTTCACCATCTCTCATGATGCTGCCAATCTGCCCAGTGTTTAGAATCTTTCTTTTCTTGATAGTAGGTTCCAGATTAAAGATTAAGGTGTTAACGTTGGCCAAGAATACAGAATATACCTTGGGCTTGCAGAAGAATGAACAGAGCCGTCTTGGAAGAAGTACAGTGGAAATGCTCCGTAGAAGTGTAGTGATGCTCTGTCTTACATATTTTGTATTTATTGTTAACAGGGGCATCAGTCCCTGGAGAAGGATATCATGCTTGGATAAATACAGGATCAACAAAAGAAAAGATCTTCAAAGAGAGAGTGACACAATGTCTTGACAGAGATTGTAAGGAAGAGACAAACTTTGTTGTTGCATGTATCTTGGGCATAGTATCAAGAGAGGCAAATCTCTGGAGAAGGATACCATAGTTGGTATGACAGAGTGTCACAAAAAAAAAAACACAACACCCCAGTAAGATTAAGCTCAAAATAGCAGCAATATAAAGTAAGGAGGGTATATGGCTGGACATTATTGGATTCTCTTGTACTTGGGGTGGTTTGAAATTGAAACTAAACAGTAGCCAATCACAAAAAATGTAAACGATCAGATACTTTATACCTTGGACTATTTCTTAAAGGGGAACGAACTATGAAGGACATGGTAATAAGCAAAATTTGAAATACAGATGGTTAATTGAAGTATTAAAATGGAATTTACTGAATTTGGTGGAATGCTAACTTAAAGACCTATGGTTGAAGTTGACAAGTTGCCCCCGTAAACCTGATGGAGGGTCGCTAAGAGTTGGAACATTGGTTGGTTGGTTGGTTTGGTGACGTTAAGAGAATAAGAGATAGGGAATGCGTTACGTTTAGGATTGAAGAGCCAGGACGTGAGGTGACTTACTCATCAAGAGTTTGATGGAAAGTATTTTATGTGTGTGCATATGTTTGTATGCATCCATGCATTTATAGAGGTTGAGAGTTTATAAAATTGGAAATTTTTTGTTTTTTAAATGGAAATAAGAAACATCTCTAGCCTTCATATTTAGTAATCATTTCTTTTTTTCTCTCTAGGAAAGCAAGATAGATGAACATCATTTTGTTGCAGTAGCACTTAGGAAACCTGATGGATCTAAACATCAAGATGTAAGATTTTAGAATTTTTCTGATTTTCTTTCTAAAAGAGCATGAATTAGTATTGATAGAAACAATAATGTGGATTATATCAGCCTAGAGTTATTTGGTTTTGAATAAGAATGGAAAGATCAGGCTGTGTGCTTAGAATTGGAAAAACATGTTACCTATTTCCTCACATTCAGATACACATAAAGAATAAAACATTGATAATGTTATTATTTCAGTAGAAACTTGAGTCATCTTAACTGTGACTTCCCAGCTTAGATAAAGCTCTATTGAATATAAGTATATGAAGTTGAATGTTGTTAGATAATGAAATCATCATATAGATTTAACACCGCTCTTTTTAAAAAAACTATCTCCTAAATTATTCCTGAAGTAAAAATGTGAAACATGTTAAAGATTATGTATGAGAGGATGGAAGACTCTCAACCAGGTGTATTGACACAGTGACTGCAGCAGTGGGCTTGAGTGTGTCAGAGATAGTGAGGATGGCCCAGGATAGGACAGAGTTTGGACCTTTTGTTCAGAGGGTCGCTATGAGTCATATTCAGCAGTATCAGACATCACTGTGTCATAACACCACATTTAGTTACCTTAGTCACAATATTTCTTCCAATATCAATAACAACTCTTGTTTGTTGTTTGCCGTCGAGTTGAGCACAACTCATAGCTACTGTATGAACAAAAAGACCTAATACCTTTCCATAACTATTGTCATTTCTCCAAGTTCATAGAATTTCCTGAGGCATGTGCTTTAGGAAATGGATTGCACTTCTGCTTCCAAACCTGTTTTACTACTGGGAGCTCCACTAAATACTGTCCACATTGGGAAACCATTCTTGTATTTGAGACACCAATGGGACAAGGTTCAGCATCACAGCAACCCAGGTTACTTCATACTGCACATTGACAAAGAGCTGTGTACAAAGAGGAAGACTATTCCTCCAGATATAACAGCGCTAGTTTCACTTAGCAGTGGTTAAGTGTTACCAAGTCGAATACGACAGAAACTAAGTTTTGCACAAAAGACCTGAACTCTGTTCTATAACTACCAACTTTTCTGTACATTTATAGAGTTTAGAAAATTTGTAGAGTTTGTAGACTCTTAGATGTTTTATTGTTATTCTGTAGAGATGTTTATTTAAGGAATACTAATAATGGAAACTATATAACCTGCCTTTTTTTAGGAAACCACATGGGCTAATATGAATAATAGAAATAGGCATTCATCAATCATACCTACAGAAAAATAGCTCAGGCTACAAACTATACCTCTGATATATTGGTACTATGAATAGATTCAAGTTATTCTTAGAGTGGCATGTTAAAGGTGACCCAAAGATGATCCTTACTACACATCTACACCTTTCCTTGCCTTTTAATGACGCAGACCCAAGTTTATACTCCTGCAGATACATTGTGTTGCTGTGGAACATTCCAGTTTTTTGAAGCATTTAAATATGAAATAATTTCCTTATCATTTTACTAGATAGAGTCTGTTTAGTGAACCCTACTATAGTATTTGCAAGAAGGAGTGGCATCCACTTCTTAAACCACATGCCTCCGGAAACTCTACAAACTTTGATAAATGTCAGCAGTTGTAGAGGGGCTTCAGGCCTTTTGTTCATAGGGTCGCTATGCATATTGCTTGACTTGAAGGCAATCAACAACAAGAGTATAGTTTAAAAGGAATTTTGGTAGCCTCATTGCAAGAAGCCACGCTACAATCCTGAAAAGCACCAGGTTCAAGGCCACTGGCTGCTCCACGGGAGAAGGCGAGGTAGTCTCTTCCCATGTGATTAACTGCCTCTGAAAACCTACCAAAGGGTCAGCTGTGGGTCGGTTCCTACGCTACAGTACACGGTAGTATAGTTTAAAGGGAGCTCTGGTGTCCTTGTGGTAAGAACCTGTAGACATGCAGTTTGAATCCACCAGCTACTCCTTAGGAAGATGTGCATTCTTCTCCTATGTAATTACTTCCTCTGAAAACCCACTGGAGGGTCAGCTGTGGGATGGTTCCACTCGATAGCACACAACAACAACAACAGGTTGTGCAGTTCCAAAGAGAGCTAGGGTGGCTTAGTGGTAAGGACTTGTGCTGTTAATCCAAAGATAAAAGGTTCAAATCCACCAACTGTGACTCATAGCGACTGTATGAACAAAGGAAAAGATAGACAGTCCCCTTCTGTGCCATTTACTGTCTCTGAAAACCCACTGGAGGGTCAGCTGTGAGTTGATTTCATCTTGATGGTACATAACAGTATAGTTACAAGAGGACATTGAAGATTCCAGGCCCAAGTTTATTATTTAACTTGTGAATATGAGGCAAATTGTTTGCTCTTCTTGTCCCTCAGTTTATTAATCCACAGTGTTTAGGTACTAACCCCTACTATAGTGTGTGTATGAGAGTAAATCGTAGCGTGATGTTTAACTGTGCTCCTACAAAGCATTACACAAAGCCCTAATATTTTCTATAATTTAGGAGCTCTGGTGTAGTAGGACATAATGTTTTGAGGTGTTAACCAAAGATTTGGCTGCTCAGATGTGCTGATGCTGATCTGTTCAGATGTGCCGTGGGAGAAGCGTCTTTTGGGAAAATTGATAGCCATCAAAATCCTATGGAGGGGTCACTATGAATCAGACTAGACTCAGTGGTAGTTGGGTTAGTTTATCCAAACGTTATCTATAATAAGTGTAAAGTACAGGCAATCCGTGGTGTTCTCAGTTGTGAATAAGGGTTCTGTCTTAGTATATGAAAGACCTAAATTTAGTGTTGAATAAATAAATTTCTAGAGGACTAGTGCATCTGATGAGTTGAAGGGTTGTATGAGATCTCCCTTCTAGAGTAGTAGTTCTCAGAATTTTACTGTGTAGTCCACCTTTGTCAGAATCACCTACGTGCTGGTTAAAATCATAGCTTTTGTGGTCTCCTTTAGTTCCGATAATCCTGTTAGATCATTATTTCTGGGTGTGGAAAGTCACTTGTCAGATAATCTACAGTTAGACATTTCAGGAACCAGATGCTTTCTCTGATTCTTCATGTTATATTTGCAGCTATGATAAAGAATTGAAGCAGTGTTCTAGAAATTCTGATCAAGTATTGAAGTGTAATTTGGTATTTCTTATTTTTGTAATTATAAAGTCAACCATAAAATTAGTAAGCAGTTTAATAATATTTTACCTATTTTTAGGATTCATCTTCAGATGATGCTAAACCTACCCAAAGGCAGTTTAAGATTCTGACCTTCAATGATTTAATAGCTTCTGCTGTTCCTATGACACCTGAAGATCCTTCATTTTGGGACTGTTTTTGCTTCACAGAAGAAATTTTAGTACGAAATGGTACAAAGTCATGATATGATTCCCTAAGTAACAGAAATGAAAACTGTTTGTAATCTTCTGTATTCACTAAAAAGCAAATACCTGATAATACCACATTTTGTTTTACAAAACAACTGGGAAAAAAAAGAGAACAAAACTTTTCCTGTTAAGAAAGCATATACTTCCAGCTCAAGACTATTTGATAAAACATGTGTTTACCTCCTCTTTATATCCCAAATCACACTGAATTGGCAGAAAAAAGTGACAGTCTCTTAAATACATGCTATTATAGAAAATACTAATGTGCAAAAAGGGAATATTTGGATCCTATCCCTGGATAACTACTCTTAAAACGTTGTATATCCTTTTAGACTGTTTTGTTTTTTTTCAAAATGGATTATTCCCAAAATAGTTTTTGTTAAAAAAATAAAAGGGAACATAATACTGCTTTTTAAAACTTAACTCTGCATCCACTGCTCATAAATAACACTAAATATACTTCTGTAGCATAACTTTGAACGGCTCTAAATACGGTTTTAATATAATGCTTTTGGTTGGCATGGCAATGCCCAGAAATAATTGGCTTAAACAACTAAGGACATTTATAATGTCATTTGACACACAGTTGAGAGGTTTCACTAAGGATGGGGTTTTTTGCTCTACCATATTGGTTTTGCTTTAGTCCCCATCATGGTCATTCGTGGCCAGTGCTGTAACTGCCAAGTTCATGTCCTCATAAATCTGCCTTCAAATAACAGGAAGGGCATTTCTCTCTCATCTCAAATTTTATCAGTGAGGAAGATTTCTCCCTAAACCCTGAGATTTGCCTTTATATTTCAGATCTTTTGATTGAGAAAGCCAAGATCTGATACTGAAATGTTTCAGTGTGGGAAATGAAGGTGAGGCACTAGATGGAGAGAATGACATTGAGAAAGAGGCCTGCCGTTTGGCATAAGGAAGGCTTGCAGTGATTTACTCTCCTTCCTGAGGTGTTTTGATTGTGTGCAGTTTATCAGTATGAGCGGTGATGCATCAAATAGCCCTGTAACCATACTTGAGTACATCTTAATGAAATCCTTAGGAACATTTCTAGAAGTGGATTAAAACTCATTGTGTAAATCTTTTTAGGAAGAGACTCCTCATTTTTCCCATAGAGTGACTGGTGAATTCGAATAGCTGGTTCAAAGGACTAAAAAAAATTTAATCTTTGATAAAATGTTGCCAATTGCTTTCTTCAAAGGCTGTATATTTATTCTTCCAGTTAGAAGTAAATGAGTGCCCACTCCCACCTGTATATTCCCTGATCAATTTACATATTATTCTTTTTTGGTTTTGTATTTAATTTGCCAATACATGAAAAATACTCTCTTATTTCATTTGTATTTCTTTAATCACAAGTTATCTTGTTCTCATTTAATGTTGTTATTAGTTGGTTGTATCCCCTTTTTATGAAAGCTGTTTGATCATAACCTGCCTATTTTTGTTTTCACTAGATAATACTTAATTTAAAATTGGACCATAAAATATTAGATGCCAACCAAGACCATCATATTGATGACAGAGTCTATTATATGGTTGTAGTGCATGTCTTGGTACATTAAAGTCTTGTTATTGTTAAATACCAGGAAGTAAAATAATTTTGTTATTTCTGTTACTGAAATTAAAAGTTGTGTGTAGATTTATAAAAGTTAGATACTTTGCTTAAGAAAAATAAGAAAGAAAATTGGAATGTTTTATAATTTTTTTATTGCTTTATTAAGCATGTCCTAATATTCTAGGCATAGTAAATAGCATATTAAAATTAAGTTGCATTACTAATGAAAGAAGTATTGTTATCCTAGCATGAATGTTATGGTGATATGAACAACCATTTGTCTTGTCATAATAAAACGCTTAACATTTATGATGCATCTTTATGCAGTCACTGTGCTCAATTTTGTTTTGCCTTTTTTTAAAAAAAAAAAAATCAAAGTTACACATGCACAAAGTTTAAAGTATCTACTAGGTATTAAGTTTCTTGGGGGGTTGTAAATGAAAATTCCTACTGCTTTTACCTCTTTTCATTTCACATCCCCAGTTAAAACACTGAACTCTTGGCTGATTCTTACTACTATAGCTTTTGTAGCCTATTTTTAGGTACCATGAGTCATAGTATGCCTATGAAAAAGGGATAATGAACCATGTGGTCTGTGCCATCCTCATCATCTTTGGTAACTTGAGTCCATTACTCACTTTGTCAGTCCAGCTCATTGAAGGTCTTCTTCCCTTTTTGCAAGGATTGGCCCCTTCTAACAAAATGCCTGACATGGGAGATGACTAAGTTTCATCATACTTGCCTCTTAAGGTGCACTTTGGATGAACTTTTCTCTGAGACATAGTTTCTGTTCTTTCTAATTCCATGGGATATTCAGGACTTTTTCTAACACCACAACTCAAAAGGCATTGAATCTTGTGTAATCCTCATTCATTGTCCAATTTTCAGATTCATAGGAAGTATTGAAAAGACCATGACTTGGAGCAGGTGCTCTTAAGTCTTCAAACTGACATCTTGCTCTTTAGAACTTTGCAGAGGTCAGCAGATTTTTCTGATGTAATACATCGTTAGATTTCTTGACTGCTGGCACCAGGGTTAGTATCGAGTGTAGATTTCATCCAAGTATGATGAAATCATTGACAGTTTAAATCAGTTCTCCATCTATTGTGATGTTGCTTATGGCTCATTTGTGAAGATTTTTGTCTTGATGTTGAGGTGTAATCCATATTGAAAACTGTAATCTTTGACTTGCAGCAAGCATTTTATGTTTTCACTTTGAGCATGTAAGGTTCTACCATCTGCATAATGCAGGTTTTTAATGAGTCTTCCTCCAATCCTGATGCCACAGTCTTCTTCATACAGTCTAGCTTCTCAAATGATTTGCCAGCATACAGATTGAATTGAATTGGTATGGAGAAAGGATAGTGATAGATAGCTTCTTGTTGTTAATGTGCTATCGAGTCACCCGTGACTCATAGTGACCCTGTGTACGACAACTCTGAACTCTGCTCTAGACTAAGCCAGTCTCACTGACTCCAACACACCTACCCCAGTTACTTTGTCAGTCCACCTCATCCAGGGTCTTCCATTCCTGTGCTGTCCTTCCACCTTTCCAAACATGATGTCCGTCTCCAAAGACTAGTCCCTCCTGGCATCATGCCCAAATACGAGAGACAGAGCTTTAAGATCCTTGCCTCCAACTAGCAACTTGGTGTTACTCTCCAGGACAGACCTATTTGTTCTTTTGGCAGTCCATGGTACAATCAATACTCTTACCCAGCACCAGAATGCAAAGTCATCAATTCTGTCATCCTAGTCATTGTCTAATTCTATGATGTGTAGTAAGTAATTGTGAAAACCATGGCTTGGACCAGACACACCTTAGTCTGTACACTGACAGTGTTGCATTGCCAACCCGAATGCACACAGTTCTAATTCACTAGTCTCTCCAAGGGAGAAAGGAGAGATTTCTCCTCCATTGTGATTTGCGGTCTTTGAAAACCCATTGGAGTGTTAGCCATGAGTTGGTTCTGACTTTTAACAACACATTTTTTAATGACTTGCTTACATTATTTTTTACCAGTCTTTTAGGTATTATTTCTTGAACTACTAGAAAAGAGAGCTCTTCTCCTGCCCAACTATTACACATTTTTTTTTCTTGTTAACCCTCTCACAGCACAATTATATTTCATTGTTTACATTATTAAGACTAAATATTACATGTTAAAATATTGGGCACAACTGATTGATGTAGTTGCAATACTGCCACATCATTTTTATTTTTGAGGAAAAATTTTGTCTACTTTTCTGTGTATGTACTTACTGTTAATACAGTAAAAAACCTTCGTGACTATCTTTTTTGTCTTGTGCAAATACTTCCTGGATTAGTAGTAGTTGGTCCAGTCTGTATTTTCTGCCTTCTGCAGCTGTTGAACCATTGTCATCCTAGAATCTGTCACCATCATTCTGCAGATCATTTGCCTCATTCCTGTGCTGAAGTCTGTTTCTTATATCTTAGATTTAGCCTGTTCTTGTGGAGTGCCTTCTTATGTAGTTTCATGAGGAGGAAATAGGAGTTATGTTGTTTGAGATTTATATTAAGAGTAATATCCCTGTGCAGAGTGAAAGGGGTGATCCAGCTGCTCCTTAAACTGATTACCCTCCACCCATAAGCTTGTTTTGTTGGTTGTACTTCTGTATCTGCTATTTGTGAAGTATTTGATGCCGAGGTAAGTTTAGTCTTACGCAGCGATAAACCATAGTGTTCATTTTCTCAGCTGCTTTGATCCACCTTTTTCAGGTCGGCACAGTCAAGCTACCATTAATCCCTCTGCTTTTTAGCTTCTGTAGTTTGAGCTCTGCTTTTTCATTCCCCTTTGTCCTTGAAGGTTTATGCTAAAAGGAAAAAAAGTCCTTTTACTATTTTAGTGGAGAGTCAATAAAAGAGAGATAAGTTTATGTACAAAATCTCTTCCCCAAAAGTCTGTTTTGCACAGACGTCTTCATACCCATAACAGTTCTGTGAGGGTGCTTTATTTCTCTTTAGTTTGAAGATGAGAAAACTATTATTCAGGATACTACTGCTGATGTTTAACCAGCTGGTTCTCAATTAGAAAGTCTTAGAATCCTATTCCCCTATTAATCAACCTACTCTTTCCTGGGTATGGAATTAAGTATCTTTTTTTCTCTTAGAAATGACATTTGTAAAAAGAGCAAGGGCCACCTGAGGACAACTGTCTGACCTCTACTAATTCCACAAGGATCATCTGCCCCTATTACCAGCATCCACGACACAAAACCAATTCCCAGGAGGTCAGAGATGCCTCTTATGCTCCTGGACCACTTTCTACTAATTTCAACACCAATACTATTATTATTGTTCTTGGTCTGAAATCCACTGCAACAACTCACAGACCACATATAACCATACAGTTATGGGGTTTTTTTTAGGGAAATGAACAGGTTACAATTTCTCATTCAGGACAGCTTCTGAAGTGTGCTTGCAGGCTCTTCAGTCTTCTGTCTTTATGGCCTTAGGCCAGTGTCCCAAAACTCAGACTTGCCCACGATGGCGTTTTTCCCCCTCAGTCTTCCACCAAGCTTGAACAAAGACTCCTGGCTGTCTAGGAA